TTTCTAAAATCGATGCATACCCTCATTTTACCATTCTTCTTAACTACAGGCACAATATTGGATAGCCATTCAATATACCTGGTTGTCTTAATAAAGCCTGCCTTAAGGAGCCTAAGAATTTTCTCATTGACCTTCTGAATCACTTCAGGACTCATCCTTCTTGGTTTTTGCTTGTATGGATTGAAATTAGGCCACATAGGGAGCTTATATTCTACTAATGACCTATCCAATCCTGGTAGTTCATTATAAGACCATGCAAAACAATCTTTATATTTCTTTAAAACCACAAACAACTGGTCCCTGTTAAGAGCATTTAACCAAGTACTTATATATGTGGGTTACTGTATAGAACCTTCCCCTAAGTTCACTTCTTCCAAGGGGTCTTGTATCTGAGAACTCACTGATGCTTCTTTTTTTATTTCTTCTGTCTTCGAAGCAATCTCCTTGCTTTTTCCTGCTCCCAGTTTCTTTGATTCAACATCTTTGCCCTCCTCCTCACAGACAAAGTCTGTCCATAAAGTTTCTTCTTCCTGTATCTCCTGGACTTTTGTTTCAATGTCCAAAGCACAGTATTTATCAAAGGCAAAAAACCTGATCTGTTGCTGCTCTTGCTTGCCAACTACCATAGTGTTGCGTATGGGGGGCGCAGACATGCTTATATACCTTCTGAGCCCCATATCCACTCCCAGTCATCTCCTGACACGTGGCTCTGCTATCCCATCTGTCAGCATAAACCATGCCATTCATCACCTAACCTCAACTGCCTGTCATCACAGCTGGAGCTCGGCAGCCGAGCTGCCCTATCCGTTGTTGTGCCATGCCGTGCTCCATACCCTAGCACTTCACTGGCCAAGATTGAGGAGGACCGGGCTAGGCGGCATCTCGGCAAAGCCTAGCCCGAGGTGCCTCCTGGGGTCGGCCTTTCTGCCGGTCAGACAACTTCCTCGGATGTCCGCGCCTTCCCGGGCGCCGGTCACTCGGCCTATCTGGCTTCGGCCATCCTCGGACCGAGCATCCTGGTCCGACCGAGCACTGCCTTGCCGAGCAGTTTCTGTCCGGTCCGGGGTGGCACACACAGCCCGAACTCTGCCCGGCCCAAGTTCTGGCAGCCCTTCTCTGGGCGAACAGTCGATCATCTCGGCCCAATGCACTGCTGGGCTTTCAACCTGCTCGGTCGATATCTCGGCCCAACTCCAGATCATAAATCACCCTCTCAGCTACAAAGATCGTTTGGTTGCCAAAGGTTTTTTACAGGAGTATGGTATTGATTATGAGGAGACCTTTGCTCCTATTGCCAAGACGACTACTGTCCGTACTTTAGTTTTCGTTGCTATTATTCGTTCTTGGCCTCTTTATCAGATATATGTTAAGAATACTTTTCTTAATGGCCATCTCATGGAGGAGGTTTACATGCGTTCTTTCCCTGGCCTTCACCAGTCCTCTGGACAGGTTTGTCGCCTTCGGCGTGCTCTGTATAGTCTGAAGCATTCTTTTCGTGCTTGGTATAATTGCTTTCAGACTGCTGTTATTGCACTTGGGTTTCATCATTGTGCTCAGGACTCTGTTTTATTTCTTCTTCACATCACTACTGGATTTGTTGCCTTATTACTGTATGTGGATGATATGATCATCACTGGCTCTGACTCTTCTATTATCTCTGACGTCAAGCAGCATCTTTTCTATGCCTTTGAAATGAAGAATATGGGTCCTTTGTGGTATTTTCTAGTATGTACATTGTTATATTGAAAAAGTTTGGTTAAAATTACCAAAACACAATTTTGAGATACAAAAGCATTATTCAGTAAAAGAAATATTAATTTATTTTTTATCATTATATAAAATAATTTTATTGAGATAATCTGTTATGGTTTTAATTCTAATATAAAACTGCTTTGATACCACATGTAAAATTATAGAATCTATATACTAGAAACTAAAAACCATAATAATCTGATTGAATTAAACAACTTAAACAGATTTAAATACGTACCTTATTTCTCACCATTTCCATGAGATATTAAACAATGGTCTTCACAATTGGAAAACCCTAGCAGTGTCTCTTCCCTTTCTTCTCCTAATCTTTATGTTGTCTTTTAATGGGATTGACAATCTTTTGATTCACATATATATAAATATATATAAATCCTAATAGGACAGGAGAGGGGATTAGGCCTAAATAAAACAATTACTAAGCCCTCCATACCACATATACACATATAAAATAATAAAGGGGGAGTGATGGGCCAATCTTGCTTAGGAAACTTATTACCTGTTAGGTCCAGCCCAAGTTAATGAAGTCATTTTTACAATTTTACCCCTAGCCTCAACCACCGTCCTCCTCTGTCATTGTCAACATCATGAGCCTCAACCACCATTCTCGTCTTCTTCTCTTGCAGTTGCTCGCCTTATATTACCATCCTCCTCATTCGTTGCCATCACCGCCACTCTTCCATTATCCATTTACTATCTTCAACACCGTCATGGCCACCATAATCCTCCTCCATTACTAATCTATTATCTTTGATATCGATCTTCACTAGCGACTTCAGATCTAGCCAATTTCAACGCCGATCTACAATCTTCAACCTTAGAACTAGATATATTGTGTATAAAAACTGAAAGAACCGGCCTAAATAAATTCATCAGTGATAAATTTATCACTATAATTTATCATTGATTATTATTGATTATCACTGATAAATTTATCAATAAATTTGTTGAATTCTCTGCTATTAATTCATCAGTGTTTTGGTTGTACAGTGTTAGTGATTGTTGAATGATGATTGAATCACAAATTAATTTAATTATTGATCATAGAATGATAAAAATGATTAATTGACCATCCTGCATATTTATCTCTTTACATTGACAAAAATGATAAATTTATCACTATATTAATATTAAAATTTCATCACAGCAACAACCACATATCAAATAAAATCAGTGATAAATTTATCACTATATTAATATCAAAATTTTAACATAGCAACCGTCCACAACGTATTGAATAAATTAGCTTTCAGTGATAAATTTATCACTAAAATTATAACTAAAAATATATAATGGTGTAAATATATACACAACAATCTCCAACAAACACACAACAATCTCCACATTGTGATTGACAAATAATTGGAGAAAAAATCACACAAACAATCTCCACATTCATTCAGAACAATATATAAACTTAGGGAACCGGCCTAAATAAATTCATCAGTGATAAATTTATCACTATAATTTATCATTGATTATTATTGATTATCACTGATAAATTTATCAATAAATTTGTTGAATTCTCTGCTATTAATTCATCAGTGTTTTGGTTGTACAGTGTTAGTGATTGTTGAATGATGATTGAATCACAAATTAATTTAATTATTGATCATAGAATGATAAAAATGATTAATTGACCATCCTGCATATTTATCTCTTTACATTGACAAAAATGATAAATTTATCACTATATTAATATCAAAATTTTAACATAGCAACCGTCCACAACGTATTGAACAAATTAGCTTTCAGTGATAAATTTATCACTAAAATTATAACTAAAAATATATAATGCAGTAAATATATACACAACAATCTCCAACAAACACACAACAATCTCCACATTGTGATTAACAAATAATTGAAGAAAAAATCACACAAACAATCTCTACATTCATTCAGAACAATATATAAACTTAGGTCTCGTTTGGGAAGCAACCAGTTTAGCCAAAAAGTCAAAAAGTTACTAAAAAAGTCAAAAAGCCAACAACCCATACCAAAAAGTCAAAGATTCTCTTTTCTCTCTACTTTTTGCACATCTTTTCGTAAAAAGTCAAAAGTCATCCCAAACATATTAGTTTTTTTTTTAACTCATATTTTAGCCAAATAGCCAAAAAGTTACTAAATTAGCTTGTTCCCAAACGAGGCCTAATGTTGAATATAGCAAATCAATGATGGTGACAGCGGCAGAGGACGGTGATGGTCGAGGCAAACGGCGTTGAAGGTGATAGAGAACGATGGTGGTTAAAGTAAGCGGCGTTGAAGGCAACGGAGGAGGGCGTGTGTCGACTGTAGAAATCATTAGAGAGAGAGAGAGAGAGAGAGAGAGAACAACGAACAGGGGGCAAAACAGAGCAGGGGTAAAACAGAAAAAACAAAAGAGCCTCAGGACTGATTGGTGCGTAAAATCAAACTTTAGGACTAAAATAGGAATAGCTCCTCAAAGCAGGACTGGCCAGTAAAAAAGCCAATAATAAATACACTAAGATGGACCATGGCTCAAAACTTTATGGATCATAATAATAATTTTGGGCTCATACCAATCAATTTGTCTGAATCACTTTCAACCCGTTTTTAATAAATCAAACTAAATATAGTCAGTCACAACCTAATTATGAAAATTTCTTACAATTCAGACTAAGAAATTTTATTTAAAATTTAAACACAAGTGCTTCATTACATATCTATGAAATAAAAAGGAAAATGTTTTTCAAATTTTTTTCAGGTTGGTAATACACAATAATTCATCAACTATTTTCATTTGTGATATAAATGATAATTTCTCGGTGTCTTGGATTGTGAGATTCGGCCAGTTCTCCTTTGAAATGAGTAAAAGTCTCATCGGTGTCATCTGAAACAGTTGATCGAGTGGGAGAGTGTTGAGTAGGTGGTGATGGAGCGATTGACAAAGGTGATGATGGTGGACTTGCCTGATCTTGGTGAGTGTCAATGCCCGTGGCAGTGACAGTGTCTTCATGTTTGAGAATGTACTTCCTCCACAAAACTTTGAGATCCAAGTGCATCAAGAAACTCTTGTGCTCATAAGCTAACATAGCCATAAATATAATGAGAGCAAAAGAAGCAGCAACTCCAACTATGACAAATAGTCCCTTAAAACTATTAACACTCAGGTTACTGGAAGACATCGTATTGCTAGAGTCTGGACAACTGTCACTCAACAACCATTTTTTTTCAATTTTTAACATGTTACCTTCTTCAATCACATGCAAGATTGCTGTTGATACATCACGTACTAAAGGGGAACTTTTACGAAACGCCTGGTAAAATAAAAATCAGTCAGGGTATTATGAGAAAGTTGGGTGAGAAGAAACATAAATACAAATATAAATATATATATGCACGTGATGAGACCGAGGTCTTAAATAGATGAATTAGTATAACATCAAGAGTAACGAGCGAAATATACAAAAATGATTGGGAGCTCTAATAAAGGAGCTCTAATGAGCTCTGATGGGAGTGGACCCCATTGTGATGTGATGTTTTGGCCTTGTGATTTTTTTTTCTTTGCCACATTTTTAGAGCTTCAAAATTAGAGGGATGTATCATTGCTTCAAAATATATTAGGTGATGCAATTGTAATTTTTTTATAATCATTTATGACAATTTTTTGATATTTGGCAATCATTTAATGCATTTTCAAAAATGCCATTTGTTGTAATATTGGATGAAATGAGTATCAAATTTTTTTATATTCTGGTACTGATACGTTCAATATATTAATTGTAATAAAAATAATGTGTATTGACCATTTTCTATTGGTTTGTAGCCGGTTTCCGATTGATTAGATGATTTTAAAAAATTTATGATCGTGACACCTAATTTCTAATAGGTATCGTATTGATATGTCTCATGATACAACTATTTAAAATCGTGATAGTAATTAAATCATCCAAATAGATTATAAATCAGTTATATCGATTGTGAGTCAAGGACTTAAATAATGGTATCGAGAGATCAATAACCCGATATGTATTGGCCAATACAATATGTATTACTCAATTTGTATTAGGCAGCTGCCCAAATTTAAAGCCATGAGAAAGAGAGAGAGAGAGAGAGAGAATATACAAAGCCAAAGCCGCCAGTCTTGTAGGTTGGTGGAACCATGGTATAATTTGAGCAGTGTCTTCCAATAAAGGGTTTCAAGTAAGGAATTTCATCGAAAGCAGCAACTATACTCTTATTCGAGAAAGCGGCATTCAAGTCTCCGTACACAGTATGATAGCCCTTAAGTTGAGACTCGCTGAATTCCATTCCTTTCAAGATATCACCAACAAATGAGGCATTTGGGTAACCAACTGGATGCCCTTTCTTTATAAGCTGTTGCACATCAGTAATAGATGGTTCAAGTCGATGAACAGTCAACATTGAGCTTAAGCTAGCCGTGTAACTTTGAGTTAGAATTAAGACCACGAAACACCATATGATCACCACAAACCTTGCCAAGTTGCTTACTACTTTCTCCTCTGTAATATATGTTATTCAGGTAATTAGGATAACAAAGAAGAAAAAAAACAAATAAACAAACTTAGAAAGTGTTCTCACTCGTGGGTTGTGATGCTTTGGGTACATCACGGAATTTCGATTATACTAAGATTGTGTTTAAATTTTAAATTTAAGTATTTTTAATACTCTTCTATACTTCATTGTGTGAGAGCAGTCTTTTTTAGAACTTTTTTGTTTTGTTTTGTTTTGTTTTGTTTTGGAACAAGAAAAAAAGGAAGCTCCTTGGAGGTGTCATTGCTTCCACAAGTCTTGGCTCTGGAGAAATAGATTGCCAGTCAGATTTAACCCAATCCATATGAAGGGACCCCGCATTGGGGCACTAGTGGGTGCCAATTACCTCACCACAACAGGTTTCCCAAGCTATTATGCACCAGTCAAATTTAATCCAATCCAAAGGAAGGGACCCCCCACGGGGGCACTAGCGGGTGTCAATTACCTTGCTACAACATGCTTTCTAAGCTATTATGCGACAGGAGTACAATGCATCTGCAGACGCACCCCCTGAGTGTCGATCCTAGGACCTCCTGCTTGGTGAGGGGTTGGCTTTCCACTAGGCCACCACTCTCGGTGGTTTTTTAGAATCGTTGAGAGTAGTCTTTTTGTTTAGCAAGTGTTTGATCTACCATCTAGTGTGTTCTTTTTTTTTTCTTTGGGCCATTAGCTTTGCATTTGATTGGTTTTGTTTCATGTTTCAACCTAGTTGAGATATGACCTTTTAAGCTTGGATGCTTTGTTATGTTTCTTAGTTGAGATTTATTGTACTGCGTTTCAACGTAGTTAGAAACATACCCTAAATGTTATGTTTTGTCTTGCTTGCATGGACAATGCATGACCATATGGAATTGGTTGCTCCATGTTTTAACTCCTGTTGGATAAATATTCCATAAATTCTAGACAACTAAGCCTTGTTTTGGGTGTTGACTTCTTTCCAAACAAGTTCTAATTTGTAGTTATGGTGAGCCAAGTTGTTGCTATAATTTTTCTAGTTGTTCTATGGCTTCATGCTCTTTATACAATGATTCATTAGTACTATGTAAATGCAGTAAAGAGGAGGAAGAGAGAGAATTACTGTGAGAGAAAACCATGGTTGAGAAAGAAAACCAGATACTTGTGCTGACTTGTTGTAGAGGATTCCCATTAAAATCTTCATTAATTTGACGTTCAAGGATCCAAACCAGAAACCCAATGAACACAAAGAAACAAGCACTTGTCACCCATAGATCCCAAGTCAATGGCTTCAAAAAAACCCATGCACTGTTGTAATTCTTGTTGTCTTTGAAAGGAACGATCATCATCACTCCAGATTCAGTGTATGGAATTGTAAAGTCAACAGCATGAGAGCGGTTTTCTCTAATAGTAATATCTCCAACCACAACATCAAAATTCTGTTCAAAAAAATAAACAAACAAACAAACGAAAAAAAAGTGGATTCTTCTTAGAATGATGTGAATGTGTCATATTTATAAATTATAATCATAATAATAAATTTATTTTAGTAATTTTATTTTCACTTTTCTACTAAGATAAAAGAGGTAAAGTGCAAATAAAATTACTAGACAAGGATGTTATTATCCTAATAAATTAATAAGTTGTCTCACATATTTCCCACATGATCTGATTTTATTTAAATCTCTAACAAAATCCTAATAGAATGTGCTAAGTTTAAATTTTTAACAAAATCCTAATAAAGTTTTTATTTTTGCTGAAAAAAATGTGCTGAGTGTAATAAGGTAATACCTTAGACTCAATTGATAGTTTAAGAATTAAATAAATAATTTGACAATAATTTAACAATAAAAAGTGTAATAAATCCTTTCTCACCACCTCAAACATATACTACAACAAATAAGAGTTTTATAAACCAAATGTTTTGGTTTCTAAAAGTAAACATTTTGTTGTAAAATACATTTAGAGACCAATTTCTATCGTCATGAGGATAGTCGCTAAAAGATCGTCCCGAAAAGTCCAAAACAAGACTTTTAGCGACAAAATTTTGAAAATGTCACTAATAAATAGAGTTTTAGGGACAAAATAATTTGGTCTAAAAATGGTTTATTTTTTGAGACAAAAAATTTGGTCTCAAAAGGATAATAATTTATCACTAATGTCTAATTTTTGTTGCTAAAAATAAAATAACGGCACTTTTCCTAACAAAAATATTTGGTCCTTAAAAAATAATTTTATCCCTAAATTTTGATCTCTAAATTTTTTTGTAGTGATATTAATAAAATATTCTAATGATATATATATGACACAAAAATTGAAGCTTTTTATTAAAAATAAATAATAGTTTATAGAATTCGATCATAATTGAGAGGGTAATTTGTAAGCAAATTGGGCCGAGCTAGGAAAGTCTTCTTTAGAAGTTGGGCCGCGCAATGGGCCGAGATAAGGGCTGGTGTAGCTTGGTCTTAGGCCAAGAAGACATCTCATATTACGGATTTGGGCTGAACTATGAGTTGAGGTGTTTGGACTTCGCAAGTTGGACCTCGTCCTTGTTAGTTCGGTCGGAGACTGCTGCAGTTAGTTCGGTCTAAACAGACAAAATCGAGGTATCAGTGGAGAGAGAACCGAGCTAAAGGATAGCTCTGCAGGGCGTCATCTCAGAGTCAAGACTGATAGTGGTGCTTAAAGTATCACCGAGCCGAAATAACTTGGTTGACCGCAATGTCAGCCGAGGTAAAGATGTCAGCTGAGGTAAAGGACGTAACATCAATGGCGAGGGTTGAGCTGTGTATAGCTCGGCAGGGTAGCATTCGATAGATTAGCTTTCGATTACACGGTCCGAATGGCAGGGGATCGAGATAAGGCAATTCGGTCAGAAATGTATAACCGAGGTAAAGGGTTCAGCCATCTCACTTGGCTTGCAGTGATGAAACTCCTAGTAGGACTCTGCTAAGGAGAGTTAGAATCCTACTGGGATTGTACAAACCATCTCAGTTGGTTGGTAGTAAGTAGGAGTATGACTCCTAGGAGGACTTTGCTAAGGAGAGTAGAGTCCTACTAGGATTGTGCAAAACCATCTCACTTGGTTGGTAGTGAGTAGTGTGTGTGATTCTCAGGACTCTCATAGGGAGAGTTGGAATCCTACTAGGATTGTGCCAAAGTAAAGTCTATAAAAGCTCATGACCAGACCTATGGATAGGTATCCCAATTCTTACCCCAGAATACACAGAGCTTATTGTCTATTGTCTAGTTGCTGACTTAGGCATTGGAGGGGTTTCTGACACACACCCGCCGGTTAGCTCACATTTGTGTTTTCAGTTGCTTTAGCTCACGTTTGTGTTTTCAGGTGGCAAAGCAACGTTGTTTGGAGGAGTGCAATCTTGATCAATATGATCATACGAGAAGAATTATTTCGTACTCGTACAATAATCCAACACAATCCACTCATTTGATAAGAACCCGCACATTTAATAAATCACATCTCATGTGAAAAAGTTGCATTCAAGAATTATGTGCACGTAATAGGATGGATAAAAATTGAAAAAAAAAAAAAAAAAATTGAAATAGTTTATAGAGTAAATTATGAAAATTATTCCTATAATTTACATGATGTGTCAATTTAATTCTTATTATTTTAATTTATTCAATTTTACCTCTTAATTTAACGAATTATGTCATAGTAGGCTAATAAATAACGGCTGTTAAGTTTGGTGGACTGAAAGTTATTACGTGCTCAAATGATGTGTCAATTTGGTCCCTGTAATTTACACGATATGTCAATTTGATTCATGTTGTTTTGATTTACTCGATTTTGACAGGGATCAAATTGACACATCATGTAATCTATAGGGACCAAATTGATACATCGTTAGACTTTTCGTCCACCAAGCTTAACAGTCGTTATTTAATGGACTAAAATGCATAATCTATTAAATTAAGGGGGTAAAATCGAGCAAATTAAAATAATAAAAATCAAATTAATACATCATGTAAATTATAAAAATTATTTGCGTAATTTACCCTAATTTATAAATTATGGTGGGAAAGGGAGTTTAATTAACCTACCCCATGGGAAAGCTCGCGCAGCAATGCATCATAAGCCCCCTTGTCAAAGGGAAAGAAGTCGTAGAGAACCGAATACGGCAGCGCCTCCATTACAGCTTTGAAAACGTCTATGCAGTACCCAGAGAAACTCGGCTTGTTAGTGATTAAATCCCTCTCGACCCTCACAAAATCACTCTGAAAATGCCTCTCTAAAACTCCCACTCTCAGCACCTTTCCATTTGTTGGCACATTCCGTCCGTTCGGAAAATGTGTAGTTTCACCTTTTCAACAAAAAAAAAAAAATCTGTAAAAATGCAGAATTTTTTCAATAAGGTGATGCTATAATGACTTATTTATTTCTATATTTTTTTTTGTCAGTTTAGTTGTTGCCATTGAATTGGAGATGCACATCAATGGTGAGACTATTACACTAATATTGTGTTAGACTAATAAAATAATAGTGAGACTATTACACCAAATGTGTGAAAGAGTAATCAAAATGAAGAAGGAAAAAACAAAAATTAACAATTTATTGGAATGGGCTTTTTTCAGTACATAGAATCCAATTATGGCAATTGTTAGCTTCCCTCATACTTATTTCAATAATTCAGACCATTCATATTATATGATTTATTAGTAGATCATTAATGCAATTTTTATTTTTATTTTTAAACACAAATGTGATCTGACTTCCAAGCAGGTGACAACTAATGTTTGATCAATTTAATTTTAAATATGAATAATAATTTATATGGCGAGACTTAAATATGAACCATCATTCCAACTTGATCCTTAAATGGATAGAAGGTAAATTATTAGTTAGTCCTACCTAGTGGACTTAAATATTTATAAATTTTGTATAAGTTTTTAATACATCCTAAAAAATTAATTTGACCCCAGCACACTTTAAGATAATTAATAAGTGAAAAGATATGTAAATAAATTAGGTGAATAAGAATGGCCTATAATGGAACAGAGGAAGCCTTGTCCCATTTTATTGAGAAAAAATAAAAATGGAAGTTGTGTGGAAGAGTATCAAAAAAAATGATTATTGTACATAATTAAAATAGAAAAAAAAAATTATAATATGTGATTGAGATTTATTTTAAGTGTCATGTAAGTTAAGTTTAAAATAAATTTAAATCACACGTTACATTATCTGTCTGTGTTTTAATTTCTATATATATAGCATTGTTATAATAATAATAATAAAAAAATGAAAGTAGCATAGGAGTAGTTGCTAAAATGGGAAAAATTCATATGTTAGTATAGTATATCACCTGGCCACGTAATAGCTTTAAGGTTGGTCCGAGACGTCGTATTCACTGCATCAAATTTTAATTCTCGTACAATTCCTTGTTTCGGCGTCCAAAATCCTATCCTTTTTGGAACATTTCCGATCACATTTACAATCTCAAAAGCAGACGATTGTATTTGCCCATCGACAAAGCTGAAATCTCCACTGAGTCCTCTAAATCTAGGAGCGCTTGAAAGAGCTTGGCGAAGATCAATACCATTTTGAGACACTCCAACACTTTCAAAGTCGGTGGTTGAATTTTTTGCAATGTTCGAAATGCTAAAATTTAGCGCGCCAACTTTCTCAACCGCCATTGCCAGGGCTGTGGTCGCATCGTATGCCCATAACCCAAAAACATTTAGATCACTACTAGTTTTCTCTTGGTGTGATCTGTTTTTCCACCTACTAGTAAAATCTTCAAGTTCTTTACTTTTTGGAACATGTGGTTTTACACCAATCACCCCTTGCATTGAGTTGATGATGGTTGAAGGGTCGAAAAAATTCAAGGAATTGGTTATGCCATCAGTTATGATCCAGACATACCCTTCACTCATCATCCCGATGTCATTTGCTTTGGTAAATAAGCGAGTGCTAAGAGAGCGAGTCATGTGTACTATGAAAACCCGGGTTTGCATAGTCATGAGCTTGTAAAGCTCTGCAACAATTTCTTCATCACTGGCCAGAGGACGAATTGTACTTTTGTACAGAACACGAATTTTGTTTTCTTGAAATGTGTCGGTCAAAAATGGAATCAACCCTTCTCCATACTCATTTTCTGTGTAAATGGGTACAACTTCTTTCCATCCGAAAGCTTGAACTATAGTAGTTATGGGTTGTACTTGAGATGAGTCATTTAGAGTAGCTCGGAAAAAATATGGACTCCGAAGATAAGAAAGGGAAGGACTTGTTGCAAAGAATGAAATAATGGGGACATGAGCTTCTTCTCCAAGATGAATTAGAAAATTTGCTTGCATGGATGTCAATGGCCCAATGATGGCTTTCACTTGTTCAGTTTGGGGAATCGATGTTATTCACTGCATCAAATTTTAATTCTCGTACAATTCCTTGTTTCGGCGTCCAAAATCCTATCCTTTTTGGAACATTTCCGATCACATTTACAATCTCAAAAGCAGACGATTGTATTTGCCCATCGACAAAGCTGAAATCTCCACTGAGTCCTCTAAATCTAGGAGCGCTTGAAAGAGCTTGGCGAAGATCAATACCATTTTGAGACACTCCAACACTTTCAAAGTCGGTGGTTGAATTTTTTGCAATGTTCGAAATGCTAAAATTTAGCGCGCCAACTTTCTCAACCGCCATTGCCAGGGCTGTGGTCGCATCGTATGCCCATAACCCAAAAACATTTAGATCACTACTAGTTTTCTCTTGGTGTGATTTGTTTTTCCACCTACTAGTAAAATCTTCAAGTTCTTTACTTTTTGGAACATGTGGTTTTACACCAATCACCCCTTGCATTGAGTTGGTGATGATTGAAGGGTCGAAAAAATTCAAGGAATTGGTTATGCCATCAGTTATTATCCAGACATACCCTTCACTCATCATCCCGATGTCATTTGCTTTGGTAAATAAGCGAGTGCTAAGAGAGTGAGTCATGTGTACTATGAAAACCCGGGTTTGCATAGTCATGAGCTTGTAAAGCTCTGCAACAATTTCTTCATCACTGGCCACAGGACGAATTGTACTTTTGTACAGAACACGAATTTTGTTTTCTTGAAATGTGTCGGTCAAAAATGGAATCAACCCTTCTCCATATTCATTTTCTGTGTAAATGAGTACAACTTCTTTCCAATCGAAAGCTTGAATTATAGCAGTTATGGGTTGTACTTGAGATGAGTCATTTAGAGTAGCTCGGAAAAAATATGGACTCCGAAGATAAGAGAGGGAAGGACTTGTTGCAGAGAATGAAATAATGGGGACATGAGCTTCTTCTCCGAGATGAATTAGAAAATTTGCTTGCATGGATGTCAATGGCCCAATGATGGCTTTCACTTGTTCAGTGTTGTTCAGTAGTTCTAGAGCTGCATTTTACATGTACAAGAATGAAATAATATTGTTAAGATTAAGGCTTAGCTTTATTAAATAAGTGTACTTTTTGATTTTTTATAAAATATAGGTTGGGTTTTGGTTGGATTTGAAGTGATGTGTTAGAGAAGTAATATGATTTAAATAAGATGATGTGACTTAAATAGAATAATGATTTTTTGACTTTTTATCTTTTTTCAATCATGCCAAAGTTGGCCTAACTCTATATTCCCTTTGTTTAGACACATTTCTCTAAATTTTGAAGTTGTAACTTGGGGTGCTCAGAAAGGAGAGATTTGAGGTTCAACACTCCATGATTAATTTAACAATAAACTTTTGTCAATTTAATAATAATAATTTTAATAATTTAAGGTTGACATTCTCCCTAGTTGGAATCCCAACTGACGGCTTTTTGTTAAATTCACTACGGAATTTATTTTATGATTTTCATTATTCAACTTATAAGATCGTTTAAAAAGATTATTTATTTGAAAAATAATAAATAAATAAATAAATAAAATTAAATTAATTGAACAACAATAGTCATATGATTAAATTGCATTTGTCTTAAAAATATCTATTTTCAAAATCATGCCTTTCATTTTTTTAAAATAAAAATAATTCAATGATGAAATTACAATTAGGCTCCGTTTGGCAAGGACTTTTGTGGCTATTTTAGCCACAACAAACAAAATATCACATCCAATCCATAATTATTACACTCTTCTCTCACAAAAAAAGTCAAAAAAACCCTTCTTAAACCAAGCTTTTTAGTCCAGGATAAAATAGTCAAAAAAGTCAAAAAGTCAAAAAGCTAACCCACTTCCCAAACGGAGGCTCAATATAGTTTACAAAATGGAAGACAAAGATTCACAGAGAGTTAACTATACCCTCCAGTTGAAGGGATGGGTTCTCTACAATAATATTTCTTGATAACCTTTCAATACAGTTTAAGTAGGTAATTGCAAAATTATTGCAAGAAAGTAGAATCCTACTCCCCAGTTGAATTGGAAACATGAAAGAATTCTTCTCTATAATTTATTTTGAATTTGCCAAAGAAGAAGACACGTGGCATTATTAAGTTTTCTGCATGGGATGATGGACCAATATTACCATAGCCTTGTTCACAAAAAGAATTCTTAAAAGGTTTATGCACTCACAAGAAGAATATAAAATGATAATAATAAAAAAAAAATTGTCTTCTGAGATAATTTTCTGTTTTTATTTTTTCTTGGATTTACAAAAATGTTGTATTCAGAGAGGACATCAACGCTTTATAAATCTTTTTATTTAGGGAAAATTATATCGGTAGTTTTTATATTTTACTCTTACGTTATTTTAGTTTTTACATTTTTAATTGGCCTAATTTTGATCTTTAATTTTAAATTTTGTTTCAGTTTGGTCTAATTAATAATATTGTTAGTGTTTTTCAAAAAAAATTATCACTAAATTGACTGAGGTTAACTAACTGAATTAAGTAAGTTTATAATTCTATCTTTAAAAATATGACATGTGACACTTATGTATATATATATTTTAAAATATTAAGAGTAGTAATAATTGAATTAAATTGAGACAAAATCATAAATTTAAAATCAAAATTGAGCCAATTAAAAATATAAAGACTAAAATAACAGGAGGACTAAAGTACAAAGACTGCCGCTATAAATTTACCCTTTTATTTATTACATTCCAATATGCCAAACAAGCCTTGTATATATCGATTAGATATTTGTGACGAATTTGGGTTACCTATTGTCTTGTTCTGAAAATTTTCTTCTATGTCGCTCTCTTGAAGCCCAGCCAACGTCAGGCAGATTCCCTCCAGTTCACACGTTTTTTGGTTACGTGGAGCTCGTTACGAATTCTATTTTGAAAAGTTAAATTATTTATTATCAGGTATTTAAGTGTATTTTATCTATACAAAAAATGATTTGGTTGATCCGATAACTCGTTCAATTTATTATGTATTTTACCACAAAAAAATAAAAATAAAAATAGATAACAACTGTATTTTTAAAAATGAATTATACATTTTTTTGATAACAAATACAATAAATTGAATAAATTATGACTATCGAATTGACCTAATTTTTTTGTGAATGAAATACACAAAGTATTCAATAAAATAAACGGTTCAAATTACCGAAACGGAACTCATAGTAAACCCGACAAACCCAAACAACACTCTCTAATCTAGATTTTAGACTGTAAGGGATTCTCATGACCTTGATTTCTTTGTTCAAAAGTTTAAATATATAAAAAAAGTACTTAAATAAAGCGATCTTGACTTTCAACTAGACAGATTTAAAAATAAATTTTTTTACTCAAATTAAAATAAAACCATTTAAAATGGAAAAAAAAAGAAAAAGAAGAAAAGAATGAGGGAAAGCTACCAAAACGATAACAACAATATCATATAAAGCCGCTTATTTTAACCATTTATCAATTAACTAATCATAAATGTATGAACTAATTGAAAAGAAAAAAATGAATGAAATATGACTTGTATTTTATTTCTTACTTGCATAAATTCAATATCTAAACATAGTTTAAATAGAGATGATTCAATTATTAAGTCACTTTACTTATCATCTAAGGCTTCTAAAAATAAATTTAAAAATTATTGTGGATGAAGGCTCTATTTTTTTGAAAAGCCCCATTTTGTTGTTAACCAAAGATTTCAAAGAATCTTGGTTAGCTACTAGGATTAAGAATACTTAATTATTGATTATACATATATAACTATATATACAAATTATATTTGAGAGAGAGAGAGACCTGCTGCAGCTGCACCAACAACATTATCCTTGGAATCTTTGACGCGGAGGTCCAATCTAGTTTTGTAATGAGCATGAGATAAATAGAAGTCTGTGAGGGCCATGTTGATACCCTTCAAACCCATCTCACCAACCCAATTGTTCATGTCGAGAACCACTCCTACCTTTACTTTGACTTTTGTTGTGCTTGTTGTGCTCTGTGCCATGGCCATTCCCCTCAAGGAAATTATTGTAATAACTATAAAGAAAAAGAAGAGAGAGAAAACAAGTTGTATAGTTTTTCCAATCATCTTATAACCCTTAGACAACTTAAGAAACTAATCCAAACTAAATCATATATTTATACCACCGTGATATATCGGGGGCAAAAGTAAAAAAAAATTAAAAATATAGAGAAGTTCTAGCCATTCATATTCTATATGTACCTCTAAGTTACATTATCTTCTTCTTTAATAATGTTTTTTTTTTTCTTTAGTTATGACCTTATTTTAATTATGAGTGATGAAATTTTTAGTTATGTCTCATGTATTGTTTGATTATGACTTTTTTTTTTTTAATTATGATTTAAAAAATATAAAATTATGTCATTTTTTTCTTTAATTATAAGGTGCATACGTACCATAATCTTTCCAAAAATATATAATTTTACATATTATTAGAAAAATATTTTGTTCACACAATTTTCTCTCTCAAACCCTCTCAATGATGTGATAAGTAAAATTTCAAAAGTTGATTCACACTCCAACTGGAATAGGACTTGCATTATGTCTTGCTACCTCATTCGAAGGGATTTGTGGGGAAGGAAATTGTGTAAATGTAACACTACAAATATTATTATTACAATGTTAAAAACGTAGCAACCGAACACCAAATAAGATACAAATCACAAATGAGTCCCATATTATGTGAGTCCCACAATCTGAAAGTTATCTGTCTGTTTGATCATCTATATGGTCTTACTTATTCACTGTGTTTGGTTTTAACTTTCTGAATTCAATTTTTTGAAAATTGAGTTTTTTATTTTTCGTATTTTTTTGTTTTCAGTGAATATTTTTAAAATTTTAAACAATTTTTTTTTTACTTTTTTAGATGCACCTTACTTAGATGTATTTAAAAAGTAAAATACTTGTAAAAAAATATTTTTAAAAATTAATAAATACATAAGAATACGAAAAATGTATTGAATTTTAGTATTTTTTATATTTTTGATATTTAGTGAATTTTCTAAAGATTTTTTTGACAAAATATTATATTTTTTTAAGTATATTTATGTTAAGTGTATTTAAAAATTAAAAAATTACTTAGAAAATTAAAAACATTCAGTAAAAACAAAAATAAATTTTTTTAAATTTTTGGAAAGTGTTCGAAGGGATTTGTGAGGAAGGAAATTGTGTAAATGTAACACTACATATATTATTATTACAATTTACAACAATGTTAAAAACGCCGCAACCGAACACCAAATAAGATAGAAATCACAAATGAGTCTCATATTATGTGAGTCCCATTCTCTGAAAGTTATTTGTCTCTTTGATCATCTATATGCTCTTACTTATTCACTGTGTTTGGTTTCAACTTTTCTTTTAAATTAGATCCACCCACTTTTCTTTTAAATGACATATTTATCCTTGGACAATTTAAGGAATCTTCTCTTCAATTTGGTACTCACATTTTTGTCGTATTTCCTTTCTCAGACCAATTCAATATCTTCTTGTTAAATTTTTGACTTTCAATTGCTAAATTTTTGACCAATTTGAGTTTTATTTTATTTTATTTTTATTTTTTATGATTTTCTTACAATGGCTGCGTTTGAAAATATATTACTTTAGTTGATTATTTGATTTTTTTAGTTATTTTAGTCTAACTAAAAAAAGTTGTGTAATATCTAAAAAAAGTAGCAGGTGACTCGTGCATTGCACGGAAAATTATTTTCAAAAAGGAAATAATTTTAGCTTTAATTTAAAATTTGCTAATGGCTGATAAAAATTATTGTCATTGTGTGTGTGATCCTAATATCTGACATAAAATCACAATGGAATTAGGTTTAATTAATATAATAATATTTTATATTATGATGTATTACAAAAGAATAATTTTAATTTTAATTTAAAATAAATTTTAAATTTAAATTATTTATTTTAATAATCTTAACCTTATCGTTCTATCTAAAAGTGTTACTTGAATACTTATATATAATAAATTTAGTTAAATTATTTATTTATTTTTATAATTTTAATTCTATTGTGCTATAAAAGTGTAATTATCATATAATGATTTTATATGATATATATTAAATTATAAGATTGTAAAATAAAGGAGGTTTTTTTTTAGGGTCCTTGATATTAAAATTTTATAGTATAAATGACATTTAATATTTTCATAATGTCTAAGGTCCCTCAACATTGAACTAGAGAAATTTCAGCCCAGATAAAATTCGGTCCAGAGAATTTCTCTCTAGAAAAAATTTGATCCAGAGAAATTCTCTAGATTCCAGTCTAGAGATTTTCTCTGGATTTTCAGAGAATTTCTCTGGTTTTCGCAAGACTTTCTCTGGATTTAAAAAAAGAAAAAAGCCTGAGATTGTGTGCTTGAGAGTCAAACAAAGTGGGTTATTAGTGGTGGAAGAGAGGTGGTGGTGGTTGTTGTAGACGCGTCCTCGGGCCTCACTACAGTTCGGACTCGATTTGTGTCACGGTCCTGTATCTAATCTCGCAAAGTGCAATGCAAGACCGATGAATCATCAAAGAGTCCAAATCCGACAAATCGTTTTTGAAAACAGATTTTTTTGAAAGAAGTGCCAAATATGGACTGCTTTGTCAGATACAGAGTCGCCACCTAAATATTTTATTTTGGGAAATTTAGGAAACTCTGACTCGTTGCCTAAGGCCACGTGTCCATCATCACCAAAGTTGCCTTGGCTCGGAAACTTGGGTACGATTGGGGAAGGTCACTTCGTGAGCACCCCCGCTCGCCCGATCAAAGATCGACCTCTACTAATCATGATATCTAGTTTTGAAAACGTTATGTGCTCTTATTCCGGTTATTAGCCTAGATTTACTATGTGATGCGCACAGCATACAAGTATAGACTGGATCGTCTGAATTGGAACAAAACATTTCATGTTTGGTTTTTAAAAGCGGTTTGCTACTCGCAAGTAGGTTAAAATGTGAATTTGCCACCCTCAGGTGGGCTTAGAAAACATGATGATTTGCCACTCTCAAATGGGCTTAAAACTCACAATTGATGAATTGTTCCAATCCAAATAACCCAACCTTCACCCATAGGCATTCAGGCAGTTTATATCACATAAACAGTTAGCCTCATGGCAAGCATGCTATCATGGCAGTCACTCACACGCATGTAAGGATGCTAAAGCATAAGTACTTACCGAGTACTCCAAGCCAAAACAGAAGTTATGTTAGAAATCCATGCATGATCCTAACCATACAGAAATGCCTAATGCAACACATGCAAAAATGCAATTACAATAGGCTCGGCTATTCTAAACATGGCATATAAGATGCTACAGCTAACAAGTATTCAACTCGGAATTGAGATACAAATGCAGTTAGTATGATGCGTCGAGCCCGGTGCATGCAATACAGATGAATGATGCAAACATGCAAGCATAAATATGCTAATTGAAACATGCCCTAATCTAACCATCATAAGCTGGTAAATAAAAGGGAGAAAGACGTGGGGTTGGAAGACATACATCGCACACACGCACACTTATTACAGTTGTGCCCTCGCTCGGAGGGTCCGAATAAATGATATACAGTCCGAATAAATAGTACAGTCTGAATAAATACAAAAATCCTAATTAATTAACAGATTAATCTAGGAAAGCAGATAAATTGGCACGCGAATCCACGGACTGCCTCAGCTCTTATTCCGAATGATGAATGATGTATGCTTGAGTTGCCTTGCGCGGAAATCCATTGCGATGCCCCGGTTTGTCTCTGTTTGCAATTTTTCTCGGAATATTGTGCAAAGCTCCAGAAGGCCGCTGATTTCTGATTTACTGCAACAAAGAGCAACAAAGGGGCATGGCAAAGTATTTTCACGTATATATGCATGACTACTTTTCGGGGAGTGTAGTCCTCGATCCTCGTGCCACCAATCACGCATATCGATGCATGATGGCCGAGGAGTCGAATTGCACGACTCGATGTGAAATGAATGCACATGGAAACGCAACAAGACCTAAACTCTATCATGGGTAATCCGGAGTGTCGGCGACCGGGGAATTGAGACACGTTCCGTCACTCGGAGTACGAAACGTCCCTCGTTTCCCGTGCTTGGGCTAACTCCTATCCCAAATACAATGCGAATGAGATGGCATACACAATGCGACTAACATACAACCTAGCATACGCAATGCTATGAAAATGGCATACATAATGCATGATGCAACATGACATACACAATGCTCTAAAATATAATCTAGCATATGCAATGCTATGAAATGGCATGCACAATGCATAATGGACTTACACCAACATGAGTGGACCTCAGCCACACTCACATCAGTGGCCATGAGATAGAAATGAGACCACCGAAACGCGTGCACACATGCACGTAAATCGAGGACCGAACCTAAGGCACAACGTGCAACTCTAACAAGGCATGGCAAGGATGAAGCATGGCATTCAAACATGTAAATTTCAGCACTGAAACATGATGCTAAATGGTCCCAAAACATGGATATAAGGCACCCGATGCATGAGATGAGCCCCGAAACTTTAAAACTAGGCACATGTATTGACTTGTAGCTATATAAAGCATGCATTATTTGATCATGAAGCACAAAGACAAAGCCAAGGCAGTTTCAAAACATGAACATTTCTAGTTCAAAGCATGACCAAAAGATGCTAGCATGATGGACTAAAATAGTGTGCAACTTTGACTAGCAAACATGGTTTACATGGCATGCATATGAAGCATATGGAATCTCACCAAACCAGCAAAAATTAGTGAATAAAATATGCCAAAATATGTCCAAATAATCACTGAAATGCAGCCAACATGTGGAAAAATGAGGGGCTTCTTTGGAAGGGCATACAAGGGGTAATTAAACACATGCATCAAGGATACTTAGCATGGCACAACCAACTCTGGAAATCAAATATGACAGCCCTAAAACTCACCAAATTGACCCTGAAATTGGTCTTGGGAGCATGCAAAGAAAGGCCTCTTTGAAGGGCCTTGAATGGGATTGGTCTACACATGCAACATAGACCTAAATTATGGCAAAATGGGCCTCGGACAGAGCCAAGGCAGACCTCAAAACCCTCAGAATGAAGCCTGGAAAGTGACTTCAATGCATGCAAAATAGGGTCCCTTTGGAAGGCCTAAAAGATCCCCAAA